CAAAGATATTAAGTTTGCTGATAAACAGCCAATTTTTCCATGGGGTCCGAGGTATGCTTCATCAATGTGCTTCTTCCAGAAATAGTACTGCTGCTCATATATACATTTTTTTTATAAGAATTTTATTCACTGGGATTCTGAAATCCTGATAGCTAATGTTTATTACCTACTATTGTTTCCTTCATAATTCCGTTGTTATATCTGAGAAAATGAAAGTAACTTTCTACCTATTGTGTGGTGCATCTACTATGCTCCTAACTCCTAAGGATTCTTCAGCTGCAGATAGTGAATACTATGTATTTTATGCATCTCTCATGTCACTGGAATGAAGATTGTTTTTTTCTTTCTACTCTTCTCCCCTTAATTAGGTCCATTTATAATACTTATCTTGTCTATGGTTCAGGTTTTCCAAGTCTGAGGTCAAAGATATTCGAATCAACATGGCAATATCAGCTGTTTTTGTAAGTATAAAAAGGAAAGGTTGATTATTACTTATGATGTACTTGGATCTTGGTTGTTAATGACAATCTGCATCTTGGAAGTGTGGTTAATACTTATGGGGTTGATCCTGCTGTACTACAAGAAAAAATGATGGCATTCAGTTTGTAATTTGTCACCCATGCTATTGTTTCATTCATCTGAATCCATTTGTGGATAACTTGAAGATTGTGTGTACTGGCACTTTCTTGTTGAGATCTTTATGATTCTGCAACCTGTGGATCCATCTTGGATGTCAAATTTAGGGGTTCAGTGGATAGTTAAATTAACCCAGCAATTTGACCAAATAATCAGCAAAAATTAAATAAACTGCAGTAATTAATCACGAAAAACGAAAAAAAAAAAAAAAAAATATTCGACTTGTATTTGATGATGAAAAAGTGACCATAGTAGACATTACCTATATATTAAAAATTAATTTTTGAAACTTTAAATTTTGTTTTAAAACTTTGTACTTGGTAGTGTTAATTTTGTAATCACAGGAAGATTGGCTAATTTTTCTCTCTCTCCCTCTTTTAAATTGAGGGTACAAGTGTACTATTTTCATATGTAGATGATATTCTAATATCTTATCCTTATGGTTATCATTTTTATGATGAGATATTTAGACTGGTAAAATTTTCTGGGGACTGATAGGAATGTAGTTGCTCAAGAATTCAATGAATCACCTATGGCATAAAGGCGGTGATTACATTACATCTGTTCATTTCCATTCTCTTCTTGCAGACAGCATGGATTATCTTCAAACGCAGTGCTGAATACAAACCTTTGCAATTTTTAGCTTTTGTCTATGTTTATCGGGTATTTGAGAAGTTAGGAGCTTATGAACCACTTACATCTTCCACATTTACGGTTAGTTATGATAAAAAATAATTGTTCTTTTCAATTTGTATACAAAAATAATAATAATAATAATAATAATAATAATAATAACAATAATAATAATACACTGAACAGAAATGTAACTCTACCAACTAGTGATTTTCTAAGCTGATATTTGTTGCAGGAAGATGGTGAGGATGAGGGTAGAATGTTGCGAATGGGGAAAAGACTACTACGATCTCTTGCCCTGGTTTTTGGATGTATAGCTTTTGCATCATTGGTATGCAGAACAATTTTATTTGTGTTGGGCAGTCATGTCCGGGAATAATATTACCTTGTTAAAATCAGATCCTAAAAGTGCAATTGAATGTAATTCTTTTCCCTTCTATATCTGTCCTGCTGGAGAATTTTTGTTACCCCAAAATGCAACTGAATATTTATTTTAAGAAACTATCACTTTTTCGCTTTCCCACATTTTCATCTACCAAATATTGGGTCATTATTTTGCTATTTTATTCTACATCATTGCTTCTCATTGTATTTTCACAAGATTACCCATCATCCTTTCAAAAATCATCTTTAGCTCTTCTGATAAAGTTTCTGGCTTTAAAAAACTTTTGTAGTATCCTTGTGATTTTGGTTATGATGATACTACTTTTGATATTGAAATTTACAGGGATACACTGGTGCTCTAAATGTGATAGAATCTATTGGCGGTTTCATACCTGTTTTCTTGTACAATAATCAGGTAACAACTATTGTGCATCATGATAATGGATGTATATGTCGAATTAGATGACTAATGATCTATATGTGGCCAAGTCCTATTCAACTTCTGATATTGTGAATTTGTGCTGTCATGACAACGTGTTGTGTGTGGTCTACTTAATTTGTTATGGTCACTGAATCTGGTTTGTTTTTAATTTTTATTAGCATAAAGATCTTCAGCATAATGAGGAAGAATTAGACACATATTGGAAAAGCAAGTAACTTTACACAATATTTGACTGGATATCAAATGTGAAGGAAAACTGACGTGGTAGATACGTATTAAAGTGTCAATATGTAATTTCCTATAGAGGAGGACCATAATTTGGAAAGATGATGCTTTTGGAATTGTTTATGCAATAATGGCGACCACAGTTTCTATATGCAAGTTACATTATTATCTTATTGTTGGAGCCGGAGCATCTATGGTGGAAAAAATATTGTAATAGTTCCTATGGATGAGTAACTTTGACCGACCTGCCAAAAATTTAGTATGGCGAGCAATTTAAAAATTTCAAGGTAGATAAGTGTGAACTGTTGAGTTTTCATTGATGCAAGAAATTGGAGATCAAAGCATCAGAATCACATAGGACCTTTTCTTTTAACAAATTCCCTTGTTTGCATATACTACAATTACTTCTGAACTTGGAAATATAACGTCGACCGTTGTCCTTTCTTCATTTTCAGCCATTTCCTGAAAAAGTAGTTTTAACAGAATTTGAAATATTGAATGGAACTGATTTACTCGGTTCATGTTTGACTCTTAAATGAACTGTATTCCTTGTTGAATTTATGGCTTTCGAATTTCATTTAATATCATAATTGCAAATGATTCTAAACGATGGTGAATTTGAAGCTAACATGTCCTACAGGCAGTTTTTAGGTCTCGAGTGTTGTGGTATCTCAGTTTTTGTCTGTAAATATTTTGTTTATATCAAAGGTTGTGTTGCAGTACATACTTGAGTTTTCAGTCAAAAGTTGCTCCTTTAACCCAATGCAGCTTTTCAACACCGAATGACATTTCTTAGTATAATTGCAGGATGTACTTAATTTTCAATAGGTTTGCAACTTACAGAGATTGTTGTTATTTATTCAGGCATTGCTTGTAACTGCATCAGCAGCACTCATGCTTCATATTATGGCTTCATACTACAAATGAAGTTCCACATTTACGCAGATTCAAGGTTGCCAAATTTGCTTCATTTGGCACTTGGTGATGACTGTAATAATTAGGTTCTGAGTTACTAGTGCTGGCTGTTGGTCCAAATTTTTGTTTGCGGAGTAGTTTGTTGGTCCAATTTTTTTCGTTACTGGCACTTGATTCTTCTTTTCCGTTCGAGTAGAGGTCAGTAAACTTGATTATAAAAATCATGTGATGCCTCAAATACAATTCAAAACTGGATGAAATGTAAAAAACTGGGACGTGTGGATGATATGACATTGGATGCAGTATAAAAACACGATTAGTTTGTATGTGTACTATTGTAATAAAATCGATTCGGTATTTGTAATCCTTATTTAATGAAATTCAAATATACTCTTTTTTTTCTTTTGTCGAAACGGTAATTAATATTAATACCCAACTCTGGGAACGTTATTTACTGTCGGCATGTTCAAAGACATAAAAGCATTCAAATTGAAGTTAAGTTACAGGGGAGAGATCTCACAAATAAGAGAAAAAGAAAACACTAAGGCCTCATTTACTAGGGAGGATGAGATTGACAAATTTAATCCCCACATTTTGCCACATCAGATTTTATCCCATATTTACTAAACATGATAGTATTTTCACCAAACTCAATCATCTATTTACCATCACTGATACAAAAGCTTTGTGTAAAATGACATTACAATTTTACCCTCCCAAATTCTTCATTTTGACGCCACCACGATCGGGATCTGCCATCATTAGGGTTCTTCTTTTTGTTCAAACATTGCACCAATCTCTGGAGCTCTTGACATTGACCGACTCCGTGACGAGGAAGACGACCAGAAGTTGAGTCCAACAGAGGAGGACGACGCCGGCAGGAATTGGACGGCCTGACGAGGACGAGGACGACGGCAACACTTTGGGCTGTTGAGTGGAAGCCGGTTATAAAGGTACATTTTTAACAACATTGACATGCTTTTATTTTTCGTTCCCCTTTTGACGCTTGAATTGATTCATATTTGGGGCACATAATTAGTTGTGATTGAATTGATTGAGATTTGGGCAATTGAATTACTTGTGCTTGAATTGATTCAGATTAAATTAGTTGTGAATTTTGTGTTTTCATCTTTTTCTTCTACTGCATATCGGTGTGGATGGATTATTTGGGCCATGTTCTTATTTTGCAACTGAGAAAGGGTGTTCGGTTGCTAACACCGTGTTGTTAGGATTTTAGGTTTGCTCCCCATTTCCATGGATAACATAGGCAATGAAATCAATTATAAACTTCTTCACGCACAAACATTGTACACACATTGAGTCCTAAACGACTCCAATCCCAAAGGAGGCCGACAGTATCAGATTAATTTGCATGATATACATACTGTTCTTCAACTTATTAGGTAGTGGCTTTGCTTTGCCGTGACCTTGTGAAAGTGTACAAAAAAAACTGATAGTGTTTCCACAAACATTGTTTTATCTTGGTGATCTCAATTGTTTTTCTTCATACGTGAAGTCACAGGCCATTGACAAAATTTATTGTGAAGCCTATTCTTCTGTGAACAATCATCTCTTCACATGCAAACACATTGTCTCACCAAATTCTTCCTCACGATTCCTAACATATAAAAAAATGACCGCACCCCAAACATTGTCATTATGCAATTTAATTGATGGTTACTGTCATTTCATCGTGTAATGTAGGCATTAATAAGTTGTGTTCGTGTATCTCTGTCAAATCAAATGTGCGAAAAATATTCATAAAAAAAAGACAAATATAGTCCTATCAGATAAACAACAATAAAAACTCATATACTGTTAAACTCAAATGAACTCCTACCATCCTTCGAATTCCGACATGTCGTGAACCGTTGGCCATGGTAGATTATTAGTCATACATGATACATGAAATTTAAAACTCCTACCATCCTTCGAATTCTGGAAAGGCGTGAACCATTGGCCATGGTAGCTTATTTGTCATACACGATAAATAAAAATAAAACGCTGCATGAAAGAAGCCTAAAGACGAAGCCATTTTTTTGTTCATTGTCATCTCCTATTTTTTGTAAGGAGACGACGAAGATGCAGTAGAACTGTTTGGAATATCATTGTCATTGTTCTTGTCCCAATCGTGGGACGCCCAATGGTTGTTGAACTTCTTCATAACATCAGACGTGGAAGCCAGGTTGGTGGGTGGTTTTTCCGGGTCCGCAACAGACGAAACACTAGTGGAGTCAGTATTGTACCATGCAATTTCATAGTGAAAACAATTATTTGTATTGTCTGACTCGTTTTCAGTAGGCAGATAGGGATTACCGGCTTCGTCGTCATCGTCATTGTCTCCTTCATCTTCTTCGTCAGAAATATTAATCACTTGTTTAGGGACACGAGCGTTCATGTTAGCATTTCCAAACAAATAATCCAGCCCTTCGAGAGCGGACTCACCCTCCTCCATGTAAGCCATGGCCAGCTTTTGTTTCTACAATATTCAGCAAAACAACATTATCAATACAGGATTCCAATCTGGTACAGAGGGTCAAAGATGAACATAGCATTTTGAATCTTTATTTTTCTATTTTTGAATTCAAATCTACTTTCTATCGTGTCATGTTAAATTTCCTTTCTTTTCAAGTTAATTGCATTATGTACTCTCGTACTCCTGAGCATCTTTCTCTTCTTTACCATAGTTAACAATTGCATTTGTCAACATCCTCTATTGTATTTTGTATTTCTTAATTAGAAACTGAATTACCTTTATTTATTCGACTTTCATCCCTAGTTGCATTCTTTTTAACATAATCTATGGTATTAATAAATTTGTACATTTTTGTGTTTCGAACCATGAACAACCTATGTTTACGTAAAGAATTCAAAATAACTTACTCGAATAAGATACTCCCAAGTTTTTTCGCTGGCCTCAACCTTATTGGTTCCATATGTGAACACAACCCCGCTTTGTTGTGTTATCCAGGTGAAAACTTCATAGCGTCTACGTAGTTTTTGTAGCTTTCCTTTGCAATATTCCAAATCAAAGCTCTTACCAAATTGTGCGTTGACGAGTCCTTGTGCACATAGTAATGCGTGATGGTTTGGACGCCCAGCCTTGAAATGTCCCGCTTTTGCTTGGTCAACCAACTCCTCCACGAACACTCCTTCAATTTCCCTAGTCCATTCCCCAGAGTAAAAAACCCTGCTTTGTGCGACGGCAGCTTCAAAAAATTTTTTTGGAGCCATTGACGGACAGCTACCGAGTTTAGGAAACTGGAGTTTTGGATTCAACAATTTTATGTTGCTTTGTTGCTTCTATTTCTAAATGCTTGGTAATGCATGCAAATATATAAGTAGTGAGTGCATGCAATCCATGCTTCATGAATAACCGTGCATTTTTTAACAGTTTTTCTCACCTTTTAATGTATTTAGACTTCTCCATCTTTTTCTTTTGTCAGGAGGGAATATATTCCCAGGTACAAATCAAAGAAAGAATCCAATGCCAGTATATTTGTCATCTCATATATTTTAACATTGATTTTTCAGTTTATATTCGGTAACCGAGGAGTAGATTCAAATGTATGTCATGACCAAAAATATGAAAGACTGATACCTGCTTGTTTCTTCACAGGAGGCTATCCGTGGCACATGGTGTAGGAGGGAATATATTCTTTTTTTTTTTTTTTTTGACATATGAATGACTGATGATGGGCATGAGTAAAGGGAATCAGAATATATTTCCTGTGCACTATCAGAATATGTTTTGAATATGTTTGAATATATTTTGAACTTACCTCTGCAAACACAGGTATGGAATCAGAGTTCCCGGCCGAGCAAATTGAATATTTGTTTAATAATAAATGGGCATATGAGGTTCAGAAGTCCTTTGCACGGTGCTTGGTATTAGTGTCTCCTCATTTGCCGTTGTTACTAGAAGGCAATAGAAAGGATGCGTACTCACTGTATACCTTATGGGTGGAGAGGTTAACTACTGACTTTGGAAAATGTTTTACTCCATCGGACTGTTAAGACAAGTATGAGCAATTTAAGATAAGGCATAGGGTGATGCAGGACATGATTAAAAAGCATGGAATCAAATATTGTTGTGAGAGTGGTATGATGTGGGGACCAGTAGAAGCATGGAATACGGTATTTAGGGTATGTATGTCGATAAAATAATGGTGTGCGATTGGTCTTATTCATGTTGAAAATTTTTTACTGACATTATTTATTTGGCAGGTCGACCCTATCAGTGTGGCCTATAAAACTCTTGGAGACCTCTTATGGGAAGAGTTGCAGCAAATGTTTGGAGAGGTCAACGAGGAAACAGTCCATCCGGCTGTGCAAAGTAGCGCTGGGAATGGCGTTATGCCTGTTCAGGTTGATGTCGATAGCCTGAAAGGAAAGCATCCACTTGAGTAAAATAACTTGCTTCAGTCACATCCCCTATGTAGGGCTCGTATTTCGAATGTTCAATGTTCAAACCACCTCTTAATTTGCTACATTGTGTTTGGACGGTTTTGTTGTTGTTGGATGATCATGTTTATTATAATTTGTAATGGACTTAACTAATGTTTGAGGTTTTGGATAATGTTATACTGGTGTATCGCAATTTTTAAGTTTGATTATTGCATCGAAAAGTTGTACATTCCCGTTATTAAGGGTGTTTTTGTTGAATCGAATTACAAATGAGTAACATACATTCTTCGTTTGAAAAGAAGTGGATGAATGAAAGGGATTTAGTGGAGCAGGCAGTGAACGAATGGGGGGAATTTGCTGATACTTGTAGGTGATGGATAGGGAAGTCAGTGTTCTTGCTTGATATCTGAATGCTAAGGGTTCGGTTTGAAGCCAGTGGTATATCAGTATCAGAGGGAGGCTGATTTCTTCATTTTATTAGTACAGATGTGTTTGCTTCACACCGAACCCCTAGCAGTGGTATAGCCAGTAGATTAGTACAGATGTGTTTGCTTTATTGGACTATTTGTTTCGTCCTGTTTTTTGTTTTTTGTGGTATCCCCTAGTGTGCTTTGTAAATCCAATGGGATTGATTTTATGGTGTTAGCTTGTACAATCTATTTTTTAATATATAATGCATTGGCCGTTGTGTTATAGCACAATTTCTAAGATAAAAATAACAAATAAAACTAACATGCATTTGTAAAACATAAACATGTTCTCAAGCATGAACAATGTCAAAAAAACCAAACTAATGATAACGGAAACGAAGTTCCTAACATCGTCTTTGTTAAGCAGATCCAAAACGAAGTTTCCAACATCCTCCTCCAAAGATAAACAAATCGAACATCATCCTAGTTAAACAAATCCAAAACCAAGAGTCCAACAACATTCTCCAAAGACAAAGTTCGCAAGATCACCCACACAAGTTAAAAACATCTTCCCCGACAAATGAACATGAACCACAACCTGCCACAAAAACCACTACAGTTTAACCTTGAATTTTAGGCCTTCATCACTTGGGAGGAGAAAGAACGTGCAAACATCACCCACAACGATGTTGTTGTCATCGAAGAATTGTCGTGCACGTCCATTTTGTATGAGTTTTTTCCCGTGGCCATGGATTATTTCCACGTCATACGAATAGTCACCAAACTTCAGAATAGCGGAGTTGTAGTTCGAATACATGCCTTCGATGTAATCCCTCCAAAACTGCATTGGGATAGCCTAAAATATAAAAATGTAACAAGTTAAACACAATCTTAAAAAATATGCAATTTCAAGTAGACTGTACAATTACATAAAATTAAATAACATACCAAACGTGCACGCTCCACATGAGTTGGTTTTATTTCGATGGTGAACGTGTACTGGGGTTGCCTCTCACACCCATTCGGCTGTAGCAACCACACCTCAAAGTCGAAAATGGACCTTGGACGGAAAACCAAAAAGTAGCATAAGGTTATGTCCTCTTCAAGAATGAAGTCTCTCCATCCGTCCACCAATGTAGGGCAATTGTTCACCATTTTCAATGTCGTCTCGTACGAACGACCCTCTATGGTCTGGATTCGGCATGTATGTGGTAGCTCCACACCACGGTAATGGTGGTGTGTTGCCCTGGGAAATGCCTACAATGTAGTATGTGTTTCATAAAGACAATGTAGGTTGAAGTAATAAATCAACACACAAAATTAAGAAACCGAAATTAAATAAATTAAAATAAGACTAACATACCGTCGTATGGAGCGTAGTAAATGTAACCGGCTTGAAAAAATGAGGACCATTAGCATCAATATCCATGTTGTCCATCCTAAATCAGTGTTCAGAAGAATGCACGGAAAAAAAAAATCATCAATTTCGCATATGCCACCACAACACATGTCATTCGCAATGATACATGAGTCCTGGGTAAACACATGAACTACTAACTTTTCATCCCAAATGAAAACAAGCAAAAGAAGCCTAATGGGCCCAAATGAAAACAAACACATCAATTAGTAATAAGTGTTAAATCCCAAATTAAAACAAACACATCAATTACTCCTAACAACCCAAATGAAAACAAACACAACAACTACTAATAGAAGCCTTCACAAGACAAAAGAAACCAGATACATCAACTTCATATTTAGGAAGCCAGATCAAAAGAAATTGTTTTAAATACTTGAAACCAACACAAACTAAGTCCACCATTATGAGTACTCTACAACCGTCCTTCGCGCATCATTTTCACCATCACAGCTTTCATGTCCGAAGTCAGGCTAAAGAACATGGAAAGCTCTTGTGGATTCTTGCATAAGCGCATGGTAACTACCATCTTCTCCTCAACTAACAGGAAATGCATGTTTGACAGGGAGTCAAACACCGCATTCCTCTTCTGCTCCTCATCATGCTCAAAACCGAGCCTAGATGCAATGCCAGACAAACTATCTTTTGTGTTACAGGAGATTGATTCCATGATATCAAGAAAACGTTCCTCCCACTCGTTATCTCCCTTCCTTTTCTTCATTCCCCCCCCCCCCCGCCACCAACAGACTCAGACGCCGTACCAGACGTGTCACCCATGGCAAGGCCGGGGTTTCCATCATTTTGGTTCTGGTATGATGGCACCTCTTCATTTTCGGAGTCCGGCGTGTTCTGCATGTCCTGTTGTGGGACATCGTTCGCTGCGTCTTCAAAGCCTTGTGCATTCTCGCCGGTTGCTCTGTCTTTCCCGAAGATTTCCGCCCATTCGTTGATGTACGGGAAAGACTTGTTCCTCAATGATTTGGCATGTGGATCTACCTATATTATGCGAATACATGGAATGGGAACAAAAGTTAAGAAGATCTATATTCATCGAGGAGATGCTATACTTGACTCTTACCTTTAACCAAGCTGTCCAAACTTTATCGTCGCACGAAAAAGATTTTGTTACCTCACTCCACCCGAAGCTTGAATTAGATTTGATGAGTGCCACACTCACATAGGTCTTCCTCCAAACATGTATTTTGGAGCTTATGTGAGGATCTGCACGAATGTCACAGCCTGGAAACTTCGCCTTCAATCTTCTCTCAATCTCGAAATTGTAGCCCTGCCTAAACCCATTATCTGCCCTCCAACCCTCGGTAACCATGTCTTTTAGGGCATCTATTAGGGCACCCTCCTCAGCCCGGGTCCAAACACGGCGTGTCTTTGCTTGGGAAGAGGAAGGTCTTGTTGTGTTATCCTGGGTACATGAATACTCCATGGTGGTTCTTGGCTACTGAAATATCGATTTGATTGTAAAGTATTAAGATAGAAATATGTAATACACATGCTAAACTATTCAAGTAAGATTCCATTATCATATATGATGGATAACCCGAAGAAAGCATATAAATCCTCAACAATAAAACAAACAACGCAAACATAGAAGAAATGGTCCAACATAAGTAGACAGTTCATCCCTAAACGTAAACTGAAACTGAAGCAAATGTTTTTTGAACTAGGTCACATTATGCTCCCATTCATAAAACATATCCTGTGCCAATCGGTCACGGAATTGGGTCCATTCTGGGCTCGCCTCAACCTGGTCTATCAAGTCTTCTTCACACGGAGTTGTGGACAAACCATCAACCGGTATCTCAGGAACTAGTGCTTCAATGGGATCAATGACCATTGTTGTACGTATGAAATTGTGAAGGAGCGCGCATGCCATGATAATGCAATTTTGGGTTCGAATGGAATAATATGAGCAACTCCTTAGAATTGCCCATCGCATTTTCAAAATGCCAAACGCACGCTCAATCACGTTTCTAGCCTTGGCATGGCGAAGGTTGTAAAATTCTCTAAAGTTTTGTGGTCGGCGTGACCCTGTACCCCACTCCTGTAGGTGGTATCTCACTCCCCTATATGGCGCTAAAAACCCAGGACCACTGGTATACCCACCATCCACCAAATAATAATTTCCTGTGTCACAAGTTTGTAACAAAGATTAATCTTTTACCTGTGTTTTGTTTTATTTGATAATGGATTGGATGTTATTTGTTTAAATAATAATTATATATGAGATAATACCGGTTGGAACACGTAGACCATGCGTCCTAGTAACCGCATCGCGCAGGACTCGACTATCCGCAGCTGACCCCTCCCAACCACAAAGCATGTACATGTAGTTCATATTTCTATCACAAACTCCAAGTACATTAACAGATACACTACCCTTACGGTTTCTATATCATGCCTTCTCAGTCGAAGGGACTCGCACGTCAATGTACGTTCCATCGAGTGCTCCTAGACATCCCTAACAAAAAACAAATACCCAATAGTTATTAGTTCGAAATAATTGAACTAACAAATTAGTATGACGTTGAGAAATGTGTGTTAGGTTACCTTGAACCATTTCCACCTTTCATCAACACAATTGGCTTCAACTGCCTTTGGTTTGACAACTAGGATGCGGTAAATTCGGATGACAGCATCAAGAACACGGTTAAAGTATTTGCTTATTGTTCTACCGGATCTAACAAAATCAAGCTTCAAAGTAACATTTTTCTTATGGTGAGCTAGGACTGACAGAAAAATTGCAACTTGCTCACTGGCTGCAACATTTCTAGATGGTCGAAGTCCCCCAAGACTTTGAAGAAGGTAAGTTAGACGGCCGAAGCAGTTACGATCCATACGGAGGTTCTCGAGACAGGTTGTGTCACTCACGTCAATTAGCCTTCGCATGTAATTCACCTGATGGGGGAGTCTATCGCTAAATCGAAATGAGGGAACGTGGTTGGTAAGAGAACGTTGACGTTTTCGGCGAGGGCGGATGAATTTGATATAGTAATAAATAGCTAGTAGCAAAAGAACTTGAACACTACTCATAACCTCCTCCAGTACAGCAACAACAGCTAATTCATCCGCAACGGTAGCCATCTACAAATGTAGGATTAAGAAAAGACATTTACACTAACCCTAAACTAAGTAATGGGAACCATAAACGTTGAACACAACTCTTCACCTTATTTTATTTTGCCAGGTCACTTCCTGTACATTAAACGTTGACATGCATTTACATTTTATTAAAAGCGAAATATCAAACAAAGTAGTTGCTCAGTAGTAACTCATTGTTAACCATTTGCTAAACAATCAATATCTGCCCTGCTCATAACTGAAAGTTAACAGTTAAGCTTCACTGAAAAAGCCCAGCTTCAGAAAAGTAGATATACTTATGATATTTCGCTTGATGTTGGAAGACAAAGAATAAGCATATCAAATTCAAGAACAAAACAATCTAGCACATACACAGAAGATGCTCCTAACAGGAAAGGCACATTGTACGAATCCCGTATATGCTATCTACAAATGGCCAACACCCATGATAAAAGAGCAACAAACTGTACACATACAACAAAAATTGATAACACTGAGCTCAACAAAGACACGAAGTTACATGAACTAACACTCAGAGCAGCATAATATTGATAGCAGCATCGTCCTTGTAGGATTAACAAAAGAAAACAGGTTCATCTACGAACAACATATGAGTTCTGACATGGAGTTTTACAGATTTTAAGACGAAACTGTTTTATTTTATGGCACAACATTCATTAACCATATGTTTTGACCAACTGTGCATACAAGGACCAACTGTTTTGACATGGGAGTGTAACACATATTAAGCTTCAATTGGATATTAACTTTATTTTCGTCTTAAAACTGTTAATCAAATGATTGAAATGAATGTAGTTAATAAAGGCAATGACCGACGCTTAACACATGGCAAGAGGCGCACCTCTTGGCAAGTACAAACCAAAAAAATCGAATGACTACAAAATGATACACAAGTGATGAAGTATAAAGCAAATGTAGTTAACACCAAAATTCTTTAACAACGCACGGCTTTTGCAAATCAAAATTGGCCCGACCACAATATTGGATTCAAATAATATTCAACTAAAATAGAGCATAAAGATGAAAAATCCCCAACCACAATATTGGATAAACCAAATGCAAAAAAAGCATGATATACATACTGTTCTTCATTTTGTTCCAACAGTTCCATACAAATATGCAAATAAAATTGAAGAACACGAGGGTAGCACCTCAAATATGCGTACCATATTTAAATACAAATCACCAACAATTCGAGATATAGGCGGCAACAAAAGGTAAAAAAATAAAAACCAAAAATTAACTTTAAAAAGAGGACAAGAGGACATACAGTGCCGGAGATTTAGGGCTCCACTACTCGACGAAAAACCGAGCAAAATTGAGATGGTGTGAAGCGTGCATAGCATAAACAACAAAAATTTAAAACAATTCGAGCTTGCGAAAAGATTTAATTCAACACAAATTTCGCACTTACAATGCGGGAGTCAGGGTACAAATCTTCAATCTGACAGAAGGAAAAATAACACAAAGAACCATTATTATGGAGCAAAACCAAAAAAAAAATAAAAATAAAAAAGAGAAGTAGGGAAGGAACCTGACCTCGAGCAGCGGGAGACGGGGAGAGGCTAGGGTTTCTCTTTCTCGCAGACGACGAGAATGGAGGAGAAGCAGTAATTATATGACCAATTTATGTAATAAAGATGAAATGAGGGGACAATATGGACCAAAAAAGTAGGTTTTTTGGACATAATGGTCATTAAAATGGAGGGATAAAAAAATCCGCCCCTTTTGGCCTGATGCGTTTGTCCGGACACGCGAGCATTTAAGCCGTGGGACCCGTCCGCCACATGGGTATTATCACTATCCCTGTCTTTCCTAGTAAACACATGACAAGGTTGGATAAGGGGGGTAATCCTATCCTATCCCCTCTAGTAAATGACGCCTAAAGAACATAAAAATGAAAACTAAAACATAGGCTAATAGAACTAAACAACCACTGACAAAAGGGATAGCCATGCAGAGAGACAAGTACTGATAGAAGTCCCGCCACTGAACGCAGAGGTTCCTAGCCAAGCTTCCACATAGGTCGGCTATCCATCAAAACCCAGGAAAACAGAAACTGTAAATTCTAAGGCTATTCACTTCCTCAAATCCAAGCCATTCCTTTTGAGCTCCTTGTGCAATATCCTTTTCAGATTTTCAGGTGTTGTTAAAGATCCAGATGTTTCTGGATTTCCACAACCACCATAAAATATAAGAAGAAAACTGGATGCGATTATGGAAACTCTTCACTCTCTTCATGGAACAAACATCAGACCACCATTTTTTGAAAGAAATACATACCTTCCCAATGAAGCCCCGCAAGTTTCTAGACTTTGACAGCACGTGGGCAGGTAAAGAAAATATTTTCAAGGGATTCATCAGAGGTCCCACAGACTCTGCAAATCGAATCAATGCTGATAACTCTTTTGATGATCTTGAGTTTCTATGAAGTGAAACCAGCATTTTCAGAGAAATTCGAATATACTCGAGAAGAATATTTTGTAACGCCCCACTTTATTTTAAAGGATTTATCGAATTTATTTAATAAAAATCACAATAAATTTTTCGCAAACTTTAATTTAATTAAATACTCAGTGGGCGCTACTCAAATTTACCAAAAGCCTTTAACAAAAAATGCAAACGTATCAAATAAAGACAGCATGCACGAATAATAAATCATAAACCAAACTGGCATTCATTAAGTTCCAAATCATAAATATAATTCACAAGTCCAAGTTCAAAACGACACAGTCATAATATCTCAACATAAATGAGCGGAAGCAAATAAATAAGCGATAAATAAAAGCATGACCACCACCCGTCTTGTCTCGTCACCCGCCGACTGCTTAACCTGCATCAGTTACGAGCAGGTGGGAGTGAGTACAGTTAACTATCGTACTCACACTATGCATATGAATAACATAATAATGGTATGGTCGCAGCATGAACATAAACAATAAAATCATATCACATCTCTAGCCACATCAATGACTATAGTCTCATCAAAGACTCACTCATGTACATCTATGCTCATCAAAGCTAAGTCATGCCATATCAGTGAAACATGGGAGTGCGTGCCACATCAATGACACGACCTTCTCATAGGTCTTAATGAGATTTACCTCACTGGGTAACCGTATCTTATCATACGGGGACAACCGTATCGACGGCCATCAAGCTCACATCGATAGACTACATGTTCATTTTCATACATAGATCACACCAAAATTTTATCATAAATAAATCACACATATGCATAGATAATTTTTGAATAACCCACCTGGAAATTTCGGATTGATGATAGCAAATCAGAAAGGATGAGGATCGAGGCTTGACTCCTCA